ATCAAGTGACTATCAAGTGAGTGTTCGCGGATTCAAATCCCAGTACGATAGTCGGTTTACGTCGATCGTGGTTATTGCACACTGTCACTAGATCGCGGCCACCACCTCGCTATTTCTTTTTTTTTTTCTTTCTTGGGTACATCCGCTGAGTGATTAGTCAGTCATATCAAAAAAAAAAAAAAGAAGCTGATTCAGAGTTCAATTCAAGAGAACAAGTTTGAAAATGCCCGTAATTCACAAAAGTTGTTTAACAGAAATTTAATAATTTTTTGTCATCATAACTATATTTATTTATATTCTAATCTTCTCTTAGTAAAAACAATTACGCAAATTAAACTCACTTCAAGGCGCATCTTTACTGCTCTCAAATCTGCTGTGGGCGCATTAATTAGATCGTCGAGGGGATCTTCCTATAATGCTATGAATTGTAAGCTATAATCTGGCCTTGCTATGACCACACGTCATACGACGATCGATAACCATCGATAACGATCTGATCTTTCTATCAATCAATTTCAATTCTTACGACAGTAAGAGTTCGTTTAACTGACAATAGACGAAAATTGACTTGTGAAGAAATAGACAAACAAACCGATCTCGCTGAGTTAAATCAGAATCTCTTCCGACGATCCAGTGTGTGTTTCCTGTAGGTAATCCGTAATATCTATTTCCGAATACACATATCGGAAAGGACGAAGGACAAATCCAATATATATAATATGTAATACATTAACTGACTCATCAATGGTAGTTTTTTTTTTTTTGGGGCACCTCCTTCTACAATAAACTACTAGGTAACACTGAAAAATACACCACCCCACCCACAGTCCCTTCAAACATATACATATATATGCGCGCTTAGAGTATGATTCTACCGGCCTTAATCACAACAACATAGCAGACAGAGAGGTCAAAAGTCGTAAGGTATTTTTTTATTTATGGCTTTGGTGACTTAACGACCTCGTTTTATAACAAAATTTTATTGCGACTATTGCTGCGATTTTCCATAAAAGCTATAAAAAGCAAACACTTAGTCTTCTCTTATGACTAGTAATCATTCACAGAATCAGTCAGAATATGGCTGCAAGAAAATCCATTTGTTGTTGTAAACTCCATCAGATATGGATGAATGCGTGGAACTGGCCGTGATCCAGCTAAAAATTTGATATAAGTAATTTATGAGAAGCATTGAAACTTTTGTTGTAAAACTGCCTAATCGATTGATTGATATATCTGCAGATGGATAGAAAAACATTCCAATAGTTGAACTGACCTCGCGTCCGAAGTTCATCTCAAGGCAGTTATAACCTGTTAATATTTTTTTGTCGTCTTTAACTTTTTCCGCTTATGCGCAAAATCAAAAAGTGTTCCCTGTGTATCCTTTTTTCTCCGGCCTCCCATCTCTACTCTGCTTGTAGGCTACTGAATTTGTGGCATTTGATCCATACTTACTCATATGCATATGTGCATATTATGTATACGTATTTATTATTCACGTAAAGCATTGTATATGTTGGATATGCATATCATAGCTGTAAGCACGTTCACAGCTGCTATTTACGAAAAAAAAAAAAAAAAAAAAAAAAAAAAAAAAAAAAAAAAAAAAAAAAAATGTTTACATTGTCGGCAGTTTTTATAGATTTTTGTTTATTATTTATTGAAAATATTATTTCTTTCTTCCTATTATTTATATATATATATATATATATATATATGTATATATGGAAGTGCGCATGTGCACATGCATATAGTGTATTCTGTATTGGGTTATTTTCTTCTTCTTTTTTTTTTTTTTCTTTTTCTATTCGATTTGTATATAAATTATTAACTAACTATTAACTATAGTTAACGTAAGCAAAAAAAAAAGAAAAAAAAGAAGAGCATTAAATAGAAAATTTTCTTAAAAGCACATCTGATCCTTTAGTCGTATATGCTTATGTAACATAAATTATTCTTTAAATTTTTTTTTTTTTTTTTTTGTTTTGTTCAATTTTTCAAAAATTATATGTATTATCATTACTTCCCTTTATTTTTTTTATTTTCTCTAACAATTAATTTCCTTTGTATGTCATTTCAAAGAGAAAACATTAAACATTTATTTAAAAAGTACATAAAACCAATTTCCACTACATCCTTAACTCTTTACTATACTTACATAGATATTTGCTGGCTTAAAGTTTCTTGTTCTTGTTCTTTTTTTTTTTTTATAAGTTTTCTTAAGTCGTTTGTACGTTTATTTGCTGATAATCATATATATATATACAAACTTAACGAACATATAGAGTCGCATATAGAGAAACTTAGTGGTTTCAGACAGTCTTTTATATATATATTCTCTGACACATAATAACTAATAAAAGTTTCTCTGCACTAATGCACTAACATAAATGCACGAAGCATACATATATGCAACACGCATGCGAACACACTAACAGTTATATGTGGATCGCTTGCTATGTCTGAATTTACGCTTCATTCATATTATCGTTATATGTCGTTTTGTGTCATGAAAACTTTGCTAAAACTTTACGTATAAAGATTTTTTCCCTCACTACGTTTGTCACTTATAGATATTTTCGGATTGAAAAACATTCGCAAATACATATATATGTGTACATATATGTATATATTCATATCTATAGTGAGGTGAAAGCAATGCCAAAAATCATTAGTTAACAGTATTTTGGCATTGATATTACATAGAAGAATCTTTTTTTTTTTTGTTTTTTTTGTTTCTTTTTATTCTTCTCTTTTTTTTCGTTCTTTAGAATTCCATGTGCACATGAGACCAGCACTCAAGTACATTTTTATGTATGTACAAGATTTTTATTGATTTTCAAGTAAAAATGAAAAGTTCAACTTTTGAAACCTGTATCCGAAATGAAACTAATTTTTTAAGTACTTGTAATGCAGTAAATAAACTGTGTGTGTTTGTGTGTTTGTGTGTTTGTGTGTGTGTGTGTGTGTGTGTGTGTGTGTTTTTTTTTTTTTTTTAGTTCTGCGAACCAGAGATAGAAACCCTCGTAGATATTATTGAAACCGCACCGCGCCTTTGTACCAAAACTAACCCCAACGCGTACTTCGTCCATTGTTCTTCTCCACGGGACTGCCGCTAGCTATTACTTATTAGCCTTAGTGGATGCCTTTGTGGGTTTTCATATTACGTCTTCTCGCCATTCGATGTCTCTCTGGGTGCCGCAATTCCCAGAGCACCTTTGCCACGAAGCCATCTACCCCTTTCCAAACCTCGGCGCAATTAATCATGTCATAGAGTATACCACACGATTCCTTTTAGACCCATCTTTGTTCGAAACTGATGAAGGAAAGTTTCATTCTAGGGTGTGTGCCTGTTCGTGTGTGTGTGTGTGTTTTTTTTTTCTTTTTTGTTTATGTTAAGTGGAAAATCATCAAGATGCGCCCGTCAGGGCAGTGCGAGACTTAAGCCCCATGGGTCCTCATTTATCTCGTTTATCAGATATTGGAGACAATTTTTCTTACTGACCATAATGGCATTTTTAAATTGCCTTCGCCTGAGTTTGCACTCTTCTTGGTGGCTCGCTCTTTGGCAGACACGCCTCGTTCTGTTGCATTGGGCCCTTAGTTCGGCACCAATATACTGGATCCTTCCTTTTATAGAAGCAACTTCTTGTCATTGAATCTCTGCTGTAGTTACCTATATATGTGTATATGTGTGTATGCCTTTTTCAAATAAACTTCTCATTTTGACTCCAAATGATGTCCAAAATTGATGAGTGATCACCTGGAATACCTTATCGCATTCAAAAGCTTGAGAAAATTGGGACTACAACATATATTTTCTTGGCATAAATTCTCAGTTTGAAATCGATTAAAACAACAAAAGAACATATGATGTCAATAATTCGAAAAATGTAAAAAAATTATAGTCGGACGAGGCCGACTATTAAATACACTATCTAGCACTGTCCCTAATAATGTTATTCATTCATTTCAAATAAAACTCTGTATCAAATTCCATTAAAATATGACGGTTGAATACAAGAATGCATAGACATATAGCGGGTGGGCAGGCAGGTTTACATCGATTCAGAAAATGATTCCAAATTAATCGGTATAACAAAAAGTGGGTGTACCTTAAATAGTTCTCGATCTTACATACATCCGCACATCCATAGAACATATATTGGAAATGTCGAAGAATGCAGTCAAGCTATAAAAAAAAACACTTAACAGCAACCGATATCCGTACCATTTACACCACCTACATCCGCTTAAAATTAAAGTGTAACTAGCATGTGCGGACGCGAACCACCAAATTTCGAGATGCTCGACCGATGCAATCAGCGAAAGTTTCAGTAGCTGCTGGTGGGGTACGTAAGTGTATCCAAAACTTTCGATACCTTCGAGCATCAGCGTATATTCGGCTGTGTAGTACTTATGTATGGATACATCTACAGCAAGTGTTCTACGAAGATAAAGTCCTTTAAGTCGATTACAAGGCAAGATATCACACACTACCGCCACATTTTGTCATTCTTTTACGCAAACACTATTACACCACACACGTACACAAACACTATTCTATCCGCGTATAGGAGACTTCTGAGAGGTTGTTGTTAAACAAAAAAATATCCGCAAAAACTCAATATGTCGTGCACGACAATTAAAATATAATATGAACACCTAAAGTTGATTGGAATGTTGCTGAAAAGTATACTAAGTGAATGGGTCGCTGCTGACATGCCTTCACTTAAAAGTTAAATATTTTAAATTATGGTTACCTAATACATGTTTTTTAATATATAGATAGATCACTTTCTTGTAGATCTCTTGTAGACTAAATAAATACTAATTATTATTCACTTGGCTATTACTAATGAACATTTGATAATTTCGCAATCAGTAACTTTCGTGTAATCGTCATATGATATTTCTTAAATAAAAAAAAAATAAAATAGAATGAAAAGAAATTATATGTAAGATACTTATGAAAATTTCTCTTTTTAATTTTTCTCTTACAGGTCTTATCCGCACTTGACATTTTACAACCACCTCATCTGGATTTCTTCCAAGAAATGTATCCTTTTGAAAACATTTAAAAGAAAAAAAAAAATTCTTACAGAAACACATTAAAATCCAAGCATATTACTTTTGTGCTTATTCAGAGATTTTCTTTTGCAAACATTTGAACATTGAAGAATTATTCGCAAACGACCTTTTTTCTAAGATTATTCATCGTAAATGCATATTAAAATTATTTTCAGTTAACTTTTATGATTTCTGCAGAGCAACCACAACGTAACGGCTGTAGAAACCTCTTCTATCTTCTTTCATTATTATAATTCTTTCTTCTCCTTGAAGAGTGAGGCTTAAAAAAAAAAAAAAAAGATACATAAATAAATAAATAAATAAATTTTTCTATACAAAACGTTGAACAATAAGGTATGAATAAATTATGTCCATCTGTATTGTCGAAAGTTAAACTCCAGTTAACTATTATCAACGATTATAGTTTAAACATACTCGCTTATACAATATAGTCGCTTGGTAATGTATATGTAAGTTCTATCGATTAATGTATAGCAACACCTTTAATACATGTCCAAGTTTTACGGATTCTTGACTAAGGCAAATTAGAAATAGGTCTTGAGTAAATTACAACTCTTCTCAGCCAAAGTTTTACGTTGAGTTCGAACTCTAAATGAAATGCTTACGCAAATTTCTTAAAGAAATGAATTTTAAACAAGTAAGAAAACTATCTTCGGCCGCATCGGCATCTTTTACATCCATCACAGTTCTATCCATTCAATATCGTATACCATCGCGGCGACGTCAACGATATTTAATTTAGAATAAACGCACTCAGCTTGTCGAAGTCTTCTTATTTGGTTGCCAAAGTTAAGAAGAAACGAATCATCCATATTACATACACACACACACACACACACACATTTGTAAACAGATAATATATCTATATATCCTGTGATAATGAATGCACAGAGTAATTTTCAATATTTTTGTCTACTTTATCTTATGAGTAATACGAGTAGAAAACGTAAGACTTTTCATACGCGTGACTGACTTTTCCCATTTCTATTTGCCGGGAACTGAACGCGACTACCTATAGATTATAGAGGCAAATTTTTATTTGTTATAGTTAATAAAACGAAATTAGTTTTATTTTTGAAAGCAGAAGTGTTGTAATGTGGCCGTGTCGCACGACCACTTTGTCCAATTTGCAATACCAACGTGCGTGCACGAACTCCCAATATTTCTGCGAAATTCGAAGGCGTAAGTTTCAGTTTTACGACCAGGAGGACGGACAGACAAACAGACAGACAGGCTTAAGTCGGTTTAGTAATTAATGCTGATCACGAACATATATAGAAATAAATCGATGAGTCTCTGGAGTTTTCTTCTCATCGCTCGGTGACGGATATAAACAATATATTTTAACAAAATGTTTCGTTTGTCTTTTGCTTACTACACATTAACTAAGAATGGTTGGGAGATTAGAACCGGATTATTGTACTGTGAAAACAAATAACTAGAGTCTAATCATCGACTACGGTGGTTAACCTCCTTCAATACAATTCGTCATTACTAAATTAGAATCTTTGACATTTTATGCATTCGAAGAAAGTACGAGGCATGTTCAAAAAGAAAGGTCACTTTCTACTGATCCCGAAGAATATTTGTTTATTCATCAATATCTATTTAGTGCCTTTCGACGCAATCACCTTAGATATAATAAACTGGTGCTAGCGGTTTTCACAATCCTCGAAGCACTTCTGATATGCGCTTTCTGGTATGAGCTCTTGAACTCTTCTAGCGACATGGTCCTTATTTCCTTAATCGTGCAAAACACTGTCCTTTCATGGATCTTCTCAGTTTTGGGAACGGAAACAGTTTGGCGGTAATCAAGTCCACGATTACTGTGGTATTTTTAGTCAAAAAATTACGAGCAAGCAATGACGTGTGAGCACTGGCACATTGTCGTGGTGCAATATTCATGATAGATTGTTCGACAATTCCGAATCTTGTTTTCATATTGCTTCTCGCGAACGGCGCATAACGCCAACATAATATTCCTTATTGGATTCCTGCGACTTTCTGGCAACAACTCACGATGGCCACTACGTCATTGTAATTGAAGAAAATTATGAACCATGTTTTCACATTTGACAGAACTTGGGCTGCTTTTTTCTTGGTCTTGGTTCTTTTGGCCGCTTCCGTTGAAATGATTACTCTGTGATATTGACATCATAACCATATAGCCATGTTTCGTTACTACTTATGATCGTTTCGAGCAAACATGGATCATCGTTGAAGTTATTCAACAGCCAACCGATATGCCGGCATTTTAGCAACTTCTTCCGCATATACCAACATGACGAAAAGAAAAATTCGAATATCAAATGTACGTAATGCAGGAGATTTGAAATTTCACCTCTTTTTTTTTTTTTGTGAACACACCTGTTACAAGTGAAAGTGCTCTCGCATAAGGTTAGGCTAGTTTGTAAGAGTCCTTTTACCAGAATATTTCTATAACTTGTAAATAAGTTTAGCCTTGCCCATCCTCCTCTTACCTATAATATAGAATGAAGCGAGTGAAGTTCGGCTAAATAGAACATTTTCTTGAAATCCTTAACTCGACTTTTTAAACTTAACGCTGTTTAGATATGTGATAACTGAACTTTTACAATCAGATCTCCATAAAATTATTGTTTCGCCACAACATTTAAGCGCTGATCACATTAAAGTGTTCCTCTATCAAATATTACGTGGTCTCAAATATCTGCATTCAGCTCGAATACTGCATCGTGACATCAAACCCGGTAATTTGCTTGTCAACTCGAATTGTGTTCTGAAAATATGTGATTTCGGTTTGGCACGCGTTGAAGAACCCGATCAAACGAAGCACATGACTCAGGAAGTCGTCACGCAATACTATCGTGCACCGGAAATTTTAATGGGCGCACGTCACTATTCAACGGCCGTAGACGTGTGGTCGGTGGGTTGCATTTTCGGTGAACTATTGGGACGCCGTATACTATTTCAAGCTCAAAATCCCGTACAACAATTGGATCTCATCACAGAACTGCTAGGTACACCTTCCATGGAGGATATGCGTCATGCATGTGGTGGTGCTCGTTCACATATGCTAAGACGCGCCCCAAAACTGCCTTCATTTTCAGCTCTTTACACTTTAAGTTCACATGCCACTCATGAAGCGGTACATTTGCTCTGCCAAATGTTGGTATTTGATCCTGTAAGTTTTCAATACGCGATTCACGATTAATAATTAAAAAACTGTGCCAAAAATTTTCGAAAATTTTTTCATCACTTACAGGACAAACGCATTTCGGTGACAGATGCTTTAGCTCATCCGTACTTAGATGAAGGACGCTTGCGTTATCATTCATGCATGTGTAAATGTTGCTTTACCACACCGGCAGGTATTCGTCAATATACAAATGATTTTGAACCATCGGCTGGTCAATCGTTTGACGATTTGTGGGAACGCAAGCTGACATCAGTACAACAAGTTAAAGGTAAGACAAAAGACAAAACAATCTTTGCGATAATTTAGAAATTTTTAATTATCCTTCATACACATCATCGAAAATTAGTAGCATATTTTCTTTCATTTACGCGAAACTTACTCATATTCCCGATTAGTTCGTAAAATTATCAATCAATCGTCTGCATTTAGCCATGCGTCGTCGGCTTCGTAGAATATTAAAAGCATTTAATCTAATTTATATATTCTTACTTGTAACGTATGAAGAAGAAGAATTCCGAAGATGACATAGCGCTCTAGTAAATGCCTCCGCGAAGAATGAAACACTTTAACTAACCGCTCCTAACAAAGAGACATGGATCTGAAACATGCTACGGCCATTTAACTTTATACTGCAAAAATTTGAGAAAAAATTTCTTTAGGGCTTAGCTGGCGAAGATGATGATTATCATAGATTCAGCCCGAAACGAGTGCACCTTTTTTTAACTATTTATTTCTAGGAATTTTTCCATCCAATCTTTTATCAGTTTTCATACAGTTACACGAGTCCATTTCAGATCCATTATTATATTCATTCATTAATATGGATAGCAGAATAGTCTTCCAATTATTGATCGGCTTTTCAATGACCTGCTTTTCAATTTTCCCCTACAAAGATTGGATACGATATTTATACGTACATCGGGACCGAAAAGGTGAAACTGATGATTAACGCTTTCACAAGTCAATATAAAAAATTGCAGAGTTTAACTCTATTCATGCGTTGCTTATTCCGTAAAAGAGTTCAGCTTCGCTTATTGATGTGCCTCGTGCAAGAAAACCAGAGTGTGGATAAATGTTCTTCTGTTAAAATTTCAATTTGAAACTCGTATCATTTTGCTTACATTTCTTCACACACTTAGTACCCTCAAGCCTATTACTAGCATTAACGCAGTCAAGCACACTACTTCTACACTTAAACACAACTAAGTAACCGAATACGTTTCAATACTAAATACTTCCCATACTTCTATGGATTTGTATCGCTGGTTTAAGCTTTAAGCAGGTTCATCATTACAACATTAGATATTCTTATAGTATAGTAGTTTAAGCCGAACTTTGTCCTCTCCTAAGGTTTACATAATAAATCATATACATACATATACATCTGTTACAAATACAAAAACCAATGTTCTTTTTTACCTATGCCGGTTTATCGCTATTCCCCATACTAGCAATTTTCTAGTCCTCTTTACCATTTGCAATTAAAATGAGACTGAGAATGTTAGGATAACGCTTACATAGCATATTACTTGCACTGCTATATGCGTATGCGTATAAGACATAATATCTTTAATTACGAAATACATATTTCGTAAGAAATAAAAAGAAACGCAAACATGGGCAAGTGATGCTTAACAAGGTCGACTCCCCATGTAATTTATTTCATATTTTATCTACACTCTTTTGCATATTATTTCAGAGGAAATGCATAAATTTATAGCCGAACAATTGCAAACAGGTCGGGTCCCGCTTTGTATAAATCCTCAAAGTGCAGCATTTAAAAGTTTCGCCAGGTAAGTTGTAATTATTTATTTATCATTGTGCGTATTTTTACACTTATACGTAGAACCATTTTCTTGACTTTAGTCTGTGTCGCTATTAAATGATTTTTTTTTTTGTTTTTTCATAATTTTCGCTAACCGAATAAACATTTCCATTTTCTAAATAACGGTCTTCCACACAACTGCGGAAGGTGGACGGAAGTATGCTAATAATGTTAATCCGTGTCCGTGTGTGATGCACAAAAATCGCTCACACAACTATTATAGATGAAATATATATTCACTAGACAATCTGAGCAAATTAAATCGTAATATTCTGATCGTTCTGATCTTAACTGCGTTTGGAATTCTGAAACTCAAAAATATTGCATTAGGAAAATAAAGCTGACCAGATGAATTCTCGGGTAAACCTTTAAAGGCCAAAAAAAAAAATCGTCAAAAATTTCAATATGCCGTACAGTAAGGCCTCGTTTAATATGTACATTCCTTCCACAGGAAAGAAATTCGGCGTAGAACGATCTCTCACGCGCTTGTTTTGAAAATTAAAGTTCATCTGCAAGCGCAAAGAAAGAGTTCATGAACATTAAAAACAATATGCAGTCTAACGAGGGCCTCTGCAATTTCGAACAAATTCACATAAAAACTAAGACTTATGTCCATCAAATCGGAATTTTATCGGAATATTTTAGTTTCATTCTCGGTTTCACCATTCGCATGTCGTGCATCAGAAAAGTGTTTTGAAAATAACTGTCTCTTTATTCATGCAAGGAAGAGAATGCGTCACAAGTGTTATATGAAAGTGTACGATATCTACGTGTCTCTATGTCAACTGTAGTTTCCGAAATTGCATCTCGAAAAATATCGGTCTTCAATCATTGCTGGCAACAGATCAAATTAAGACTTTCATTGACTCTAAATAACATTCGTACGATCATAGAGGTCGAATATAACCTCAACATCAACCAATCAGGTGTTCATTATTATCCTTTAACTTTAAAGTCTTGGAGGTACCATGAACTACATAAGAAATAATTTGAATGAGACACAAGCAAAAAATCGCCAAGGTCAAAAAATGGGACCTTACCGACCTATGAAGCAAACCAGACTTCCTCTTTGGTTTTGCAATCCCCAGAAACATTCTTTCGATGTCGTATATATATATATATATATATAAGTTTATATATTAATTAGAGATCTGAATGGATCTGACCATTTCCATGTGTATCTGTCGCTGAGACAATTACGTTTGTGAAACTTTGTGTTAAAGTGTACGAAGACCGTCTAAAAGCTTAAAGACAAATTAATTGTGAGTTGTCCACGGGAAAAAAGGAGAAAAACTGTAATTTATCGCCTTTCAGGTCGATGATTGACACACATACAATTATCAATGTATTTTTGCCATATCGGTTTAAAATAATGGGCTTAGTTTTAAGATGTTTTCTTAATTGTCAGAAATTTGTTTGTTACCGATGAAGGTTATAATAGAAGCATGTAAAAACACTGTAGGGGGATATGGCCTGCCATTAAATGCCCTACATCACTTTACAGTTATTTACATGGTGTCTTGTGCAAAGTAAAGCATTATAAGGGAAATGGGCGAAATCATTTTCCATAGCGTCCGTCCTTGGACCGAAACACTTTGGCGCACCAAAATTTCAATTCCAATATCATGAAAATTGCGGTGCCTGTAGCTTGAATACAAGAAAACAAGACAGACAGACAGATGGACAAACAACTTTAGATCCGCTCGAAAAATACTTCCGAATCGATTCGTATAACAAAAAGTGAATCTATGTTAAATCCTTCTGTGTATACATGCTCATAAACTTCATATAATCTTACACGGCAAGCAGTGTAGGGTATAATGATTATACCCGTGTCATAAAAGAAGCGTTACTTAGCCCAAAAATTCATTCAAAAATGTGCAAAACTTCTTCTTCAACAATGTCTTGTTTGGATTTTTCCAACATCCAATAACGATGATCACCAAGCCGTATACAATTATAATTTGATCGTCTCACTTCTAACAAATCCATATAATTGTTGAAAATTTGAAGAAAAATGTGCATAAGCGTACGACTTTACTTATTTAAGATATGTCTGCTCAGGTCCATCGTATCCATTTTAAACCCTTGTTAATAGCCTGTGGAGACAGTAAAGTAAGGCTGCCTGCAAATATCTTTGATGGTTTTACAGAAATCGATTTTTATACTCCGGCTCAAGTGCTTCGTTATTCCCTTAAACTGTTCTGCGGTTAACAGATTAAAAATTGTAACAGATATCGACTTAATATTTTCAAGTGATTACAGGCGGAATTTTATGTAATTATCCGTAATTTAGAAAGTAATAATAATAATAATAATAAGCGCTTCCCATACAAAAGATCTAAGATCTTGTTTACTAAGACAAATCAATCTAGTTTTCTTGTTTCTTTTTGTTGTTCTTGTTTTGTAATAAAGCATTTAGTTGAAATTTTATTTATTTTTAATAAAACACTAAAATATGTTGATTAATTAAAATTAAAATTTTTATATTTTTTCAAAACAATTTTCCTAAAAATGCAAAAAAAAACCAAAAAAAAAAAAAAAAAAAAAAAATCAAAAAAAAATCGAAAAAAAAAATACAAATTAAAGCCAATGAGAATGAGATAAAATGCTGCAACAACAAACACTGCTGCCAATGCTGCCACCAACAAAGTTTTACAACAAAAATTCTAATAAAGATGATCAGGAAGACAACGATAACGACAACGATGACGAGAACGACGACGCGAACGGCAACGACAATGATAATGTCGACAATGATGAAAATGCTGTTATTATTAAGCTCTACAAAAAGAATTGATTATTTATTAATTTAGCTGACTGTTAGTAATACGTCAAGTTATGAAAAAAAAACTATAAATTCTGACATCGTATATATACATATACAAATTATATATGTATGTATGCGTGCGTATGCGTATATAGGCATTGCCATCCCAATTTAACATTAATGTTAAATGTTAATTGAATCGTTGTATGCGCGCTTATGTGTGTGTGCATGTGTGTGAACGTGTACGCGTTTGTGCGTTTGTGCTTGTATGCGTACATGTGTAGTGTTTGTACATCTACCTGTATACATGAATATGGCTGTATTCAGCCATAAAGTATGCAATATGAAATTACAAATGCAAACATGTACACATATGTGCATTATGTAGTTAAACATAGAACACACAGCTAAACGAATGTCAGATGAATAATGACAATTGAACACAGAAAATAAATATAAATGTCAACCGTAAAAACAACGTGCATCCAGCCGACAAGAGAGCAAATGAAACGAACATCAAACACCAACTCAAACCATAAATCATCGGACTCAATGAGATTAAAATGAACTATACCTACTAGCCACTATATATATATATATATATATATATATATGTATGTGTGTATATGTATATATGTATATGTACGTATATAGATATGTATATGTATACATATACATATATAACATGTAATACATATATAACAGTCCCCAGTTTCAACACAAACATGCACATAATAATATGTTCCCTCTGTCGCACTCGCGGCCTCTGATTATCTCTCTCGCTCTCTCTCTTTCTCTCTCTGTCTCCCTCTCTCTCCCTCTCTCTCTCTCTCTCTCTCTCTCTCTCTCTCTCTCTCTCTCTCTCCCGCGCGCGCGCGCGCGCGCTCTCTTTCTTTCTCTTTTGTTCTCTTTCTCTCTCTATATCTCTCTTACTTTCTTCCTTATTACTTTTCTTTCTTGCATTTGTTTTCTCTCTTCCATACCCGGTCTATCTTCGCCTATCAGCCAGCCGTTATTATTGTTATTGTTGTTTATAACGTTACAGCGCGAAATGTATTTTGCGTTACTTTAGGTCGGTATTATATGTATACTAGAAAGGAATCAATTATAAATTTTTACATAAAATGCGAAAGAAAGAATGAAAAAAAAGGACAAACAACATTTTACATTTTATTTTAAATGATTTTTTTTAAATCAATTTTATAGAATATATGTCCTCCCTTCCTTTATTAAAGCTTTTATTAAATGAAAAATGCATTTTTTTTTTTTTTTTTTTTTTAAAGAGCAAAAATGATTTAATTATAACGAACTCTGAATACTGCCTATGACTGACGTATGTCATAAGTGCAGCTATTATCCTTATCAATAGACAGAGGTGTATGAAAAAATCCGAGAGCGCAAATGTCATTAAATTTACATAAGATTAGCGAGTAGTAGTCATAATAAGTTAGGATGTTTTCAAGAAGCTTGAGTTACGTCTATTATCTCTATTCATCGCGCTTAATGGTGTATTAACATCGCCTGTAGTATATTAAATTTTTTCAACCATTTGCAATGATTTTTTGGAAAGGAAAGAAACTTTATAAAGTATATATTTATATTTGATCGATATATATGTATATATATATGTATATATATGTATATATATATATACCCTCAAACCTCCAAGACAATTTGGGCATGATCGTCCGTCTGTCCGCATGGTATTAACAATCTTAAAGCTCAGAAAATCAAAATTTCATACATACGTTATCACTTGGTGATCAAAATCCGGATTTTCGTGCCAACGAACAGAATTAAAAATATGAAGACATTCTCCCAAGTTATAGATCAGTAGCAATATTTGAAAAGTAAGCCTTCTAACAAAATACAAAATTTCAAATCAAAAGTGACGCAATTTCCTTATGTGACATATTTTTGGATTGCGCAGGACACTTTGCATTTTTCTATGTGTAGAGTTTGCCATACGGAAGGATCTTTCAATTAAAAATTCATTTTCAATAACTCAGTTCTTTCATCGGCTGTATGGCATATTGAACTGTCTTATTATAATCTTATGCCTCGCAGTTTTCAACTAAAAATACACTCGAGACTGCTTGTAGAGACTCTAACAATGGCCCATAATCAGTAAATTTGACTCAGTCAACAATAAATTTTTATTCCTTACGCTTTTATTTATATCTTATTGCCATGCAAAT